TGCTGCTTTGACTTTGTTGCATGTGGGAATGTCAGTCTCAAGGGAATCGTGGTACCTGTATCATCCAGAATTATTTTTGTTTTCAAACAGTAAACCCTCAAAATTACCATGAAATTCATTCCCATGAGTGTAAATAAAGATTATAAGATAACTAAATTTCTGTAGACGTTCACATGGGCTCAATGAGACATTACACAGACTTGTGCTAGCAAGATGGCAGGGTGAATATCATTTAACCTCCTAAGACGTGAACTCTTTCATGGCATGCATTTTTAATTTCTTTTTGCTATTTGGTCTTATTGGGACCTGATGAATGTAAAAACAAAGAATTAACAGATGTTTACCTAATTTTTGTTTCTGAGAAAAATGAGATCCACATATGAGGACATTAGCTTTAAATTCCGATAGAACAGTGGCAGTATAATGTCCTCGTAAGGGTCCTTGCAGAGCAAGATTTTGTATTTTGGTCTAGACCAGGCATGGGCAAACTACGGCCCGGGGGCCACGTGCGGCCCGTTAAACGTTTTGATCCGGCCCGCCAAACTTGAAAAAAATTTAATAAATTAACCTTGTTTTATTTCCCCTGCAATTCTGATGTTTCCTCACTAGATGGCACACTCTAGATATATTGGCTTTGTTGAGGTGAAGCGTAGGCCTATTACTCCACGTTTGCACTTTACCCTGTGACCCACCGCCCTTCTATGAAGATGAGCAGACCCAAGAAAAGGAAAGTGGACGGAGAATGTCGAGTGTTCAATAAGGAGTGGACAACTAAATATTTTTTCACTGAACATCATCTGCTGTTTGCCTGATATGCCTAGAAACCATGGCGGTTTTTAAAGAGTATAATATTAGCCGTCACTTTGCCACAAAGCACGCTAATTATGCTAGCAAGCTCTCAACAAAAGAACGGGAAGCTGCTGCTGAGAAGTTGGCAGATAATTTGAAGGCTCAGCAAAGTTTTTTTCACCGTCAAACTGCCATTCAAGAGTCAAGGCCAGTTTTATGCTTTCATTCAAAATAGCAAAGGCCAGCAAACAACTGTCAGAGGGCGAGTTTTTAAAAGAATGTATGGTAGAGACAGCAGGTGTTTTGTGCCCGGAGACCAAAGACAAATTTGAGAAAATCAGTTTATCACGGAGGACAGTGACTCGCCGTGTAGAACTAATAGATGAAGATATCACCAGTATATTAAACAAAAAGGCGAAGTCATTCACTTTTTATCGCCACAACAAAACTAACTCCAGACTTTGATGCGCTGGCTAAAAAAGGAGACCAACACTGCTCCCATTAAAATGTGTGTGTCTCCGTGATACGCACGCTGTTAAAATGAACAGTGCGCGCGGATCAAATATAACGCTTCACAGACTGACTTGCTGCAACTGTTTCGTTCTTGCACTGGTCGTTGTTGACTTTTGGCACCGGGGAAA